AGAAATATTTCCCAACTTTCTCTTGCAAACTTAATGACTAAAAAGATGGTCACTTAGATTAGCTTTGGGCACACGTGATAATCACGTCATATGTAATCAAATTAAAACAATTTTTTTATACCAAGACAGGTGACACTCAGATATAGCAAGGACCTTTTAAAAAAAACTGCCCTGAAGGAAAGGTCTTGGGACTTTGACAGATACAGTAACAACATTTGTAGTAATAATAACTGGAAACTTTATTCCAAATAGGAAGCATTCTGACACTACTGTACCCTATGCTACAAAATGAAAGGAAACTTGGAAGCTTAATGTAACCATGGCCTTCCTTGTCCTACATACAAACGGCAAGCGCTTTCTTAAGTACAGCATTTCCTCGCGTTGATTTGGGTTCCCCCAGGAGCAGGGCCAGCCTAAGAACTGTTCATGGCACTCTTTGTAGTGGCATTTTAAAATGAGACTTGCAAAGCTTTTAACAACAGTGGTATCTTTTATTTTTACTAGGTATTACAAGAAACATCAATTTCCTTTACAGAAAACACCGTAAAAAGTGTATGATTTGGGTGAGTAAAGAACTTTTCACATTTATTCTCATGAATGTACTAGGGAAGGGGGCTCATTGCGTACTGTGCATTATGGGCACTGGGGTGGCTATTAATTCTTCATCTTCTGCACCTTCCGAACAAGAGCATGGGCAACTCCTGTTGCCCGTCAGCAGGGAAGATGCAGCCTTTGAGCAGCTCTCTTTGGCTGCCCAAGGCAGGGAAGCGGCAAGGGGCTCCCTCCTCTCCTTCCAGCCCAAAGCCACAGTAATGCTTGAGCATATTTTACAAGAACCACAACTTTTCATATAGGGGAACCTTTGGCAATCTTCCAAAGAACCTCAAGCTCAAAGAAATCTCCATTCAATCCCATGCAGAGGCCAGGGTGGGGGTGGGGGCTGAGGAAGAGGAAGAACAATCCTCCCAGGCCACCTGGGAGCCCTGACTGGCCAGTCCAAGACTTTGGGCTCCCCTGCCAGCCACGCAGCTGCTTTGGGGACAGCCTTTCCTTCTGGAAGGGAACTGTGGTGGAGGGAGCACCCCTGGCGTTTTCTGCGGGTGTTCCTGTGGCATGAGAAGTTTCCTGCTTCTCCTCTCCAGTGGGTTGTTCTTCGGCTCCCTTCCACCTTTCTCCGCCTTGTGCTCTTGGGGCAGGCTGGATTAAAGCTCGCTCTGTCTGCAGCCCGTTGGTTCCTTAGGGCCAGCGTAGGCAGGAGGTGGGTGCACTCTTTTGCCTTTGTGAACACTCTGGAGGCACAGGGCACAAAGACCCAGGCGGGCAGGCATAGTTTATCGCCCGCTCTCTACTGGCCTTATCTCCTTGACCGCCCAGGCATGAGATTTCAAGGAACGGGGAGGGGCGTTGCCCATCCATGGCTGCTCTTGTTTTAGAAAGATTAAACCCAACTGAAAACGTCTGGCTGGAAGGAGCCGTGGCGTGTTGTGCTTTTTAAAGAAAGGGTCCACCCTCCACCCGCTCTACGGGGACAAGAGGAAGGAGACTAATTCATCTGCGTAGAAGAGCCTAAGATGGATTCAGCTGCAGCCAGCGTTGTTTACCAGCATTTGTGTAAAGTACATTCGGTACAAGAACCGGCAGAGTCCAGGGTTTCCACCCTTACGGACTACCTGGCTTTTTTCTGCGTGAGAAAGGTGGGGGGGAGAGAAACCCAACGGAAGGCAGCCTGAAAAACTCCCCGCCACCTTTTCACAGTTGAGGCTGCCTAACCTAGATTTGACGAAAGAGCAGTTCACTGCAAAAGGGGGGGGGGGGGCAAGGGAGGAAAGTTTTAACTTGGGAACCTCCTTTCTGGTGCTGGTTCTCCTTCATCGGGAGCTTATTTTTAATTAACTGGTTTGGGGCGGGGAGAGGTTGCACGCCGGGGACTGTCCCAGCCGAGGCGGCAATTGGGAACGGAAGAGTTAACCAGCTCGCCTCTTGTATGGGGCTTCCAACAACCCCCCTTAGGGTACGGAAGGCAGGAGCAACCTCGCGTCCTGTGATTTATGCCGCGCCGGGATCAAGGTGGAAGCAGGAGAGAAAGTCAGAAAAGCCTGCTGTTGTTGCCGCCGCCGCCGCAGGCCTCGCAGAGAGAAGCCCGTCTCTGGGAGGTCGGGCCCTGGATAAGAGCCCCTGAAAGGACTGGTCGAAGGAGACGGGTCCGGCGGCCGCTGTGCTGCTAAGCCCTCCCCCCCCCACCCCACGCGCCCGCCGCCGCCGCCGAGCGCATCGATCACCGCGCGCTTTTGGCACGATTGAGGCGCGAGGGGGGAAATCCTCGGAATCTTTAAGAATCGTCGATTTCCTGCCTCCCAAGGGTTTGTCCTCACCTTCTCGGGCGCGCGGTTCCTCAACTCCAGGTTAACGCGCTTCTTCATTTCCAGCTTTTTCATCTCCATCTGGAAAGCCTCCAAAGTGGAGAGCAAGGAGGGAGGGGCGCAAACTACCTAAGGAGAACCCGACAGGCAGGCGTGGGGATGCGTGGCGAGAGGGAGGGGGAGAAGAAGAAAGGGAGAGTCTCCCCTCTCGGCTGCTCAGCAAAGGGCCCCGAAGGCGGTGCGAGCGGAGTTGGGAACTCCGGGCTGCTTTGCCACCCAGATCCCTCCTCCTGTTGCGAAACACGCAGCTCCTTTCCCTTCAATGGCTGCTCGCACACTGAGCCTCCATGACACGGCGCATGGGGCCCCCTAGCAGATGCTCCGCCTCTCCCGGCGTGGCTCTCGAGGGCGCTCCCCGCCCCCGGAGCCCATTGGCTGAACGCGGGGAGCCCCCGCGGCTCGACGAGTCGCTGCGCCCCGCCCCCCCCCCCGCGCTCGGGCGCCGATGTCTCCTTTTGTGTGCGCCTAAGGCGCTCTGGAAGCAACGCGGGGCTGTGGGCGGGGCGGCCGATCAAGGTGGGGGGGCTGTCGGGGACCCCTTGTCCCCTGCAGATAACGAGGCTCCGAAGTTTTTTCTCCCCTCGCTCCCTTTCTCTAAAAAAGGATCTGCGTGCTTATCGAGCCCCACTAATTGTTCTGACACAATCTTTCATGTTGCTTTCCATCTGCATATACATTTGCGGACTAGAGGCTACCTCCCCCCCCCACCCCTTTGATAATAAAGGTAATGGCGGGAAAGTGCAAGAACAGCACAACATTCTTTGCCTCCGTGTCTGCAGTTTTGGGAGCTTTGAGTTTTTCTTTTGTGTGTAGGGCAGGTACAACGGGCTGCCTCCTTTGCTTCTCTATCTGCTCAGTGCTGCCTATTTCCATCCTGGATGGCCAGTGTCTTAACAGCTGAATTCACAATCTGCCTTTTAAAAACATACCTAGTGTGTTGGTTGTTTTCTCACAAGTGTTTAATCACAACTAATATCAGTTACTTTACTAAGTAACATCAGAAAGGATGAGTGGCTAAGACGCTGAGCTTGTCAATCAGGAAGGTTGGCGGTTTGAATCCCTAGCCATGTAACGGAGTAAGCTCCCATTACTTGTCCCAGCTTCTGCCAACCTAGCAGTTCAAATGCAAAGTAGAAAAATAGGGATCACCTTTTTTGGGAAGGTAACAGCATTCCATACGCCTTTGGTGTTTAGTCATGCCAGCCCCATGACCACAGAGACATCTTTGGACAGCACCAGCTCTTCAGCTTTGTAACAGAGATGAGCACCACCCCCTAGAGTCAGAAACGACTAGCATGGATGTGCGAGGGGGACTTTTACCTTTACCTTAACATCAGTGCTAGTAAGTGCATCATCACCTAGTACTGATGATGTTAGCTAGTTGAGTAGTGAAACGTCTGCAAGAAAACAACCAAAGCCAGAGAACACCAAGGAGCCCACAGTTGAATGCTGAGCTACAAACGTTCTTTTCTAATGATACATTGTCTACTCGAAGCATTGGTACTGGGACTCTTATCATGTCTTATTGGAAATCGTCAGTGATGAAGAATTCACAGATGGTCATTGTTATTTTATTTTATTTTATAAAATCTGGGACCTTTTCTATCAATGGTTAGATAATAAAATACAATAATACTTAGAATTTTAGAAAATAATGAATATATAAAGATGTATTTCTTTTTTTGTTATTATATTTATAAAATGTTTTTAGGATAGATTTGGGGACGATTATATGAATTGTTATATAATAAACTAAGTAAATTATAGTTATCTCGCAAAGTATGAATGAACAAAATTATAGTCAAATGACTGATTATTAGTGATACTAGGGTATTCAATTTTTGATAATATGAGTTATTATGCAGTGTAACTAATTGAGACTATGAAATGGATGCACAAAAAAATTGTGAACCAACCAACACACTGCTTGTATATTTATGAAAGTTGGATGTTTTTATGTTTTGTTTGTTTTTGTTTGTCTTTAAAAACCAATAAAACTTGTTTAATAAAAAAATAAAAAAAAAAACATTCTTCTCAGGTTTGAGGAGTGTTGTTGAGAAAACTGTAACAACTTCGGCATATATTAGGGTGTTGAACCAAAATTTAAAAAGGTAACATCAGATGGCCATCCCAGCTCCTTGACTGTTAAAAATCAATTTTTGGGGGGATTCCAAAATTATGCCTGAAAAAAAAAGGAATACTGTCTGTAATTTCACAAGCCACTGAAATGAGTAAGATAGACTTCGAGGGCAAACTGGTGATTGCTGTTTTTTTTTTTGTTGTTGTTAAATAATGGGCAGAATCAGTGCAAAATACTATAAATAGCAGTTCGTTCAGGCTGCTGTAGTTGATGCAGGTTGGATTGAAATGTCAGGGACATCTTTTCAAAACCCACAAAAAGCATCTTCTAAGAGAAATGAATGGGCTTCTCCCCCCAAATAATAATAATAATAAATAATAATAATAAATAAATAATAATAAATAAATAATAATAATAATAATAATAATAATAATAATAATAATAATAATAATAATAATAAT